AATTTCCATAGGGAGTCACAATTTCCATGCTCAAGGCACACCTTAGCTAGACCTGAAGATCACTTTCCTTATTGAAAATGCAAACATATCCACAAAACATATCATCTTAAGCTGCACCTGCAGGCCTGGGACTTATCCAGCATTCTTACTTCTAGAGAACAAATGGATAGCACATAACATGTAGTTCTGGCAACAGAAAGGACTCCTGGCTCAACCACCACTGGGCTTAACTTCCCCTTCTTCCTTGCCCATCCAAGGGGGCTTTCCTTGCACACTGCCTGCTTGAGCTACTGTTAACTGAGAGGTGGACACTGTTGTAAAGGTACTTTCCAGCCAGCAGCCTTCTCTCTTGTAGGGATAATATGCCCCACATAATGGTTAAGAGCTCTGGTTCTAAAGTCAGGCACATCTGAGTTCAAATCTTGGTTCTAGACATTATTAGCCTCTAAGACCTTGGGCAGTTTATAAAAACTCTTTGTGCCCCATTTTCCTGTAATGCCAGTAAACACCCACTTCAAGTCAGAATCTTGGGTGTCCTCTTAAACCTACTCATCTCTCATCTTACACCTTCCCACTGCTATTGTCTTAATCCAGCTCCTCGTCATTTCTCCTTACACCATAGCACAGCCTCCTCACTGTAATTTTGACCTTCCACTTTTGCTGCTCTCTGCTCCGTCTTCCTCTTTGCAAGGTGGCAGACACAAACCTTGGCATCCTCCTCCACTCCTTTCTTCTCTCACTTGCATCCAATTCATTAACAAGTCTTATATCAGTAGGCCCTTCCTTCAAATGTATCTAGACTCTCACTGTTTCCATATCAGCCTGATTACTGCAATAGCCAGACAGCTGGACTCTATGATTCCGACCTGGCCTTCCTACAGTTGATTCTTAACACAGCAGCCAGAAAAATTGTTTAAAAAATATAAATCAGGTGACTCAAAACTTTTGATGGCTCAATATTTCACTGAGAGAAAAATCCTAAATCCTTCCAAAAGCCCAGGTAAGGGGACTGTTTCGAGCCTCCTGCTTCAGAGGATCCCACTGTGGCCATGCCTCTCCCTGCAGTGTGAGGTGTCTGCAGGGCTGAGAGGGGTGATCTTGAGCCTCTCCCCATCACAATCTGGGCCATTGAGATGCTGGAATTTCATGCCCAATGGCTCTAAGCCCATGTCTAGGCCTGTGCAGTGTCTTCCCCAGATCCATCCCCCCCAAAGATGAACCTTTCTGCCAGTGTGCATATCCCCATTAACCAGGCACTTCTTTGCTTTTTCTGCTTGAAACTCCCTTCTGTAAAACTGCCAGAGCACCAGCCCCCTGGCATTCTCAATTCTCCTTATCGGTCTCTCTTTTCCAAAGCATTCATTACATCATATTATACCATATAATATACTTGTTTATTATATTATAGCCTACCATCTTTCATAGGAATATGATTGTTTAAATCAAGGATCTTTGTCTGTTTTGCTTACTGCTATGACTTCAGCCCCTAGAACATTGTCTAGCAGTAAGTAAACACTCTGTCAATATTTGTTGAATACATTACCCCTTTACCTAGCAGGCAGAGCAATCTCCTGAATCCTGACCGGTGGACCCTGACCATGTCACTCCTGCTTAAAAGACTTCAATAGCTCCCATTATTTACAAGGTGCCGTTCTCCGTAGTGTGGCCTGCAAAACCTTACCTGACCTGGCCCCTCTTGCCTGAGCCACAGAAAAATGCATGCACTTTCCATGACCAGGACCTCACAGATGCTTTGAGAATTCTAATTTCTCATGTCTGATCTCATCTTATTTTTTTCTAATCTTATTTTTCCTCTATTTCAGTTTCTTCAGGTACTTAAAAATAGTATTGCAGCCCTAGACAGTTTAGCTCAGTGGGTAAAGTGTTGGGCTGCCGACCAAAGGGTCCCAGGTTCGATTTCAGTCAAGGGCACATACCTGGGTTGCAGGCTCCTCCTGAGCCCAGGGCCTTGGTTGGGGCGTGAGCAGGAGGCAACCAATCGATGTGTTTTCCTCACATCGATATTTCTCTCTGTCTTTCCCTTTCTCTAAAAATCAATGGGAAAATATCCTCGGGTGAGGATTAAAAAAGAAAAAATAGTATTGCATCTTAAGTATCTCCGTAAATAGCCTTACATTCTTATGCATTTAACACAATGAATAAGCTTCTCTTAAATGTCTTAAGCTGTTCCTTCTGTCTCTATTGTATCTACTACTCAACTCTAGTGTTTACACTAGTGTAAGTCATTTCTGGTATGTTAAATGGGTGCACTTCTATTTCTCTGCTAGAACAAGAACTCTTTGTACTTTATTAGGCCCTTAGAACTCTTTGCTAAACCTCTGGTAATTTAGGTACTTTGTTACTAGTAACACAAAACAATGTGGGGATTTCTATAAAAATTGTTGCCTAAATTCTGGCAGAACCAGTGCCAGAAATGTTCTGCCAGCTGCATTCTCATCTAGGGAGGATCGACCTGGAAAAGAACCTTGATAAGACAATTGACATGACTACTGACAGAACTATTGATAAGGGATCAGCCACATAGGAAAGAAAGAGAAGCAAAAAGTTGACTATAGTTTTGAGGTCAAACTATCAAGACAATATGGATACCACTGAGAGAAGAAAAAAAGGAGATATAAGATCAAGAAAGAGGTGATTCTGCCCTGCCAGCGTGGCTCAATAGTTGAGCATCAACCTATGAACCAGGAGGTCATAGTTTCATTCCCAGTCAGGGCACATGCCCGGGTTGTGGGCTCAATCCTCAGTGTGGAGTGTGCTGGAGGCAGCCTATCAATGATTCTCTCTCATCGTTGATGTTTCTCTCCCTCTCTCTCTTTCTCTCTGTCTCCCTTCCTCTCTGAAATCAATAAAAATATACTTAAAAAATAAAAATAAAAAAGGAAAGCTGATTTTTAGAGAAATGGTAAGTTGGGTTTGAGTCATGAAGTAATGCAAGGCATTCAAGAAAAATGTAAGTGTAGAGTTTTTGACATAATTGAGGGCTAGAGATAAACATAAAGAAGTTATTTCAAATATGCAGATGTTAGTTGACATTGGGGAATGAATCAACTCTCTGTCGGGGAGAATATAGAAGGTGAGACTAGAAAAAAAGGTGTGAACTCTGAGGAATGCCCCCAAATTTGGAGAACAGGAGTAGGAGACCAGAGAAGGCAGAGAAGAAATAGTCCTAAGAATGAGAAGCTCCTCCATCCCAGTGTTTCAGGCCCAAGGGAGGAAAATCCCAAGAAGATAATAGAGAAATCTGGAGAATAAGAACTGGGAATCAGCCCTTAGGTGTGGTAGAGACAGCTGGAAAGCATTGAGGTGGTTGGGGCTGGATAATCTTTCAGAGTCCTTTATCCTGCAATACAGTGAGTTTTTTTGAAGATTAGGGGAACACATATAACCCAAATAAACCCTGCTGCCTGGCCATGTGGCTCGTTTGGTTGAGTGACATCCCAGACACCAAAAGGTCACAGGTTCGATTCCCGGTTAGGGCATATACCCAGGTTGTGGGTTCCATCCCTGGTCAGGGTGTGTGCAGGAAGCAACAAATCAATGTTTCTCTCTCTCTCCCTCTTCCTTCCTTTCTCTCCAAAATAGATAAATAAATAAATAAGTCCTGCTGCAGTGGGGTGTGACAATAGGAGGTCAGGCTGTAGTTGCCTCATTACATGGTAACCCAGGTATTAAGCAATTAAGGCATTTGGTGTATTTGGACATTGCCATGTGGAATAAAAATGACACAACAATCTATGGATCTCTTCCAATGCATTGTAAAGCAAGTCAACTCTGAAACATGACCCATCTCTGAAGATGTTAGCATCATCTCCTTCTCAAATCAACCTCAAACTGCCGCCTGTATATTATACAAATAACCCACATCTGGTGATTCATCTGACATTTCATCAAATCAATTCATTAAACAACTCAACAAGCACTCAATGATCACCTATTGTGCTAGGCACTTGGGATTCAGAGAACCTAAAGCTCTAATTTAATGGAAAGGCTCACAGACAGCAGGAAGAAGACACCTTGAAGCAATAGACAAGGAAGATCCTGCTGACAGTGAGAGGTTAGGTAATGAAGATGAATAAACCAGTTTTGAGTGGCAAAAGTGATATGGTTCACCATTCATAGAATCTTAGGATCTTAGAAACTTGGGAGGGAGCATTTGACTCCTGATGCAACCGTGTGATTACTGCTCACACTTAATATTCTTACTGTGCACTTTGTCAAATATATTGTCCATTATTCCCTTCCACCAGACCAGAGAATGTCAGGGTCAGAAGAGCTTATTAATAGGCAATTTCACTGAAACTTGACCTCCTCACTTCAATGCTCTCTTACATGAATCCACTGTCATTTCTACTACTAGGTGTACCCAGGTGGCGAGCAATAAATACTTTGTTTTCTTCCATTTTACTAATCTTTCATCATTTCACATAGAAAAATAAGCCTTTTAAGTAGATCCCAGATCACATTTTTGTTAAATAATGGTTGTCTGTAGTATAAGTTAATATAATTACCTTTTTACTTTTGTTTTTTAAACAGCTTCCTTTTAGAGCATAGCTTCTAAACACAGACTAGCCAGGAATGTTCTCTCCCTGCCAAAGGGATAACTCAAAACACATTAGACACAGGAAAACAAAATTTTAAGTTCCATTAACCCTTCAAAAATTCTAAGCTGAGATAATCTCAAGAATAGTTCAATTTTTTTCAGTGCACGTTTATTTTGTACATAAAAATATCTCACCTCATAAAACTGCCCAACAATAATAATAAGCATAAGGACAAGCAAGAGAAATCCTACTATTGGAGGAGCAGGCAGAAATTAGCTTGTTTGTGTCCCTGAGCACAATGTCTGAGGCAGAATTTCTCCTGCCTCCGATGCTGTGGAGAGAAAGGCTGCCCACACTTAACCCCACTGCGACAGCCTCATCATGTTCCACACCACCAACTCAAAGAACCAGAAAAATCTCACCCCCCTGGATACTCACATCAGGACTTGGCACTTGCTCCTCAGGCAAAGAAACAAACAAAAAAACAATAGAAGTTGCTCTTTGCATCAGATTCCTTCATAGAAGCCAGCAAAACAAACAGCCAAAAGAAAACAAAACAAAAACCCCAGGTTGCTGCCTAGACCACTGCAACAACCAGTAGACCCAAGCCAGGACTCCTTCTAGCTGGTCCAGGGGCACAGGAAGATGGACAGTGAAAAGCCATCAGATAATGGAAGTATATTCCATTGAGAAAAGACGTCATTGCCTTTCAGTTGTGATTCAAATCACTTATTAGGAAGGACTGAAGCCCAGCCTACTGAGTTTTGGTTTTGCTTTCAGGATCACTTCTTCCTTGTAAGCAAATAACTGACTGGTATTTGGGAAAACTGGTTGCAAACTTACTAGAAAAGAAGGGCGAGGAAAGAATGCTAGCATGTGCTAGCTGTGTGCCAGAAATTTTACATAAGTATCTTTAATAGTTTTCTGTGGCTGCATAACAAAAGACCATAAATTGGGTGGCTTAAAACAACAAACACTGCTCTCACAGCTCCCTCATTATTCTCTCACAGGTCTGGAAGCTAGAAATCTACAATCAAAGTATCACAGGGCCACGCTCCCTCTGAAGGCTCCAGGAAGGAATGAGTCCTTGCCTTTTCCTGGCTCCCGATAGCTTTCTGTAAGCCTTGGCATCCCTTGGTTTGTGGCTGCTTCACTCCAATCTCTTCCTCCATCTTCACATGACCTTCCCTGTGTGTGTCTCTGAGTGTCCTCTCCTCTACTTATAATTTATCTCACCTCATAAAACTGCCTAACAATAATCATAAGCATAAGGACAAGCAAGAGAAATCCTACTATTGGGAGAGCAGGAGGAAATTAGCTTGTTTGTGTTCCTGAGCACAATGTCTGAGGCAGAATTTCTCCTGCCTCCGATGCTGTGGAGAGAAAGGCTGCCCACACTTACCCCACTGCGACAGCCTCATCATGTTCCACACCACCAAGCCTTATAAGGACACTAACCACTAGATTAGTGCCCACCCTAATCTGGTATGACCTCATCTTCACTAATTACATCTGTAGATACCATACTTCTAAATAAGGTCACATTTTGAGGCTCCAGATGAACATGAATTTGGAGGAAACATTATTCAACCCACTACAGCACTTCATTTCATTCTTGGAGGAACTCGTGGCCTAGATTCTGTTAGACCCATTTTACATATGCCTTTCCTCAGTTGCACAGACAGTCCCAGTCTTGGTATTTAGGCAGCCACTCCCAACTGTAGCTACCACAATTGTTTCTTGCTTGAGGGATGGAGTCAAAAGAGCAAGAAGGAGGAAAGGAGAACACTGCCTTTTCAGAAGAAAAACAATAGCCTTGCCAGTGTGGCTCAGTGGTTGAGCATCAACCTATGAACCAGGAGGTCACAGTTTGATTCCCTATCAGGGCACATGGTTGGGTTGCAGGCTTGATCCTCAGTAAGGGGCATGCAGGAGGCAGATGATCAACGATTCTCTCCCATCATTGAAGCTTCTATCTCTCTCTCCCTCTCCCTTCCTCTCTGAACTCAATAAGAAATATATTTTTAAAAAATCTGAAATCAATAAAAAACTTGTTTTTTAAAAAAATCTCTAAAAATATTCAATAGAAAGAAAAACAATTAGGCAGCGGTGACTTAGAGGCAAGGCGTGGAGAGAAGACAAGAACACATTAGAGAAATGTGGCTAAGAAAACACACCCTGTCTGAGCATCAGAGTTCCATCTCTGCTGACCCCACTCCTATGAGCCCAAGGGAACCGTAGTGTTACCTGAGATGTTGCTGGCCAAATGGCACCAGATATTACCAGTGAAGTTACACCTTGGTTTTTAAGTTCAGCAAAAAAAAAAAAAAAAAAAAAAAAAAAAAAAGGATTCAGAGCCAAGAACTCAAATTACAAGAGAAAGTTTGCTTAGAAAGTCACAGAAGTAGAAGAACTGAGCCAACTGGGCTGTGTAGGCACAGAAAACAAGTTAAAGAGGTAGAAGGGCCCTTGGAAAAGCAAAGATAATGTGTCTTGGGGGAGGAGAGTGATAGGGAAAGGTGTGGGCATGCTCTCAGAGGGAGAGCACACCCTGGGTCCTTCATCTTGATGGTTTTAAAGGCTGGGAGTTTAGGGGAGGTCTGAGGGGAGAGTCTCAAGAGAATAGCCAGAAGTTTTATGCTGATGTGCCAAAATGAGATTTAATCCCCTGACTTCACACATCCTTGGGTGTAGTTGGCACAAATGGCACTAATTGAATTTTTGTAACCTATCTCACCGAATAGGATGATTTAAGCTATTTACCCTCTGGTTGCAGAGGAGAAGTGTAAACGATTTACTTTTAAGTATCCTTGGTTAGGGAAGATAGGGTTTTGCCATTTACTAGATGACTATAAACCCCTTGGGCATTAAACTATCTGCCTTAGTTTCCCTATTCCATCTGTCCTGGCTTACTACTAGCCTGTCTCAGTAGGAATGAAATTGGTCATCTAGGTCTATATTCAAGTTGGCCTTTTCTTGCCAGCTGGTTTTAGTCTCGCCACTGAAAAGCCCCAGTGTAGTGGGACCACAGAGGCCTGAGGAATAGGCATACGTCCCCTGCATGGCTCTGAGAGTTTAGTGTCTACATGGGACCCACACACCACTCTTCAGAGTGCCTGTCCCTCTTTAGGAGGGAGACATACTTGTCACTGTTTCTCTTCTCTGTCTTGTCCAAGTTTCTTCCCACTCTGCCCCACTCCCTTTCTTCTTGCTGTAGGCAGTTTGACAGCCAGGTACAGAAGGTCACCAGGGCGGAAAGCCCAAGGTACCTAGCAATGGACAATCCCATATAATAAAAGCCTAATATGCTAAGTGTCCAGTCGTCTGGTCGGCCGTTCAACCAATCAAAGCATAATATGCTAATGATATGCTAAGGCTGCTCAACCGCTTGCTATAACATGCACTGACCACCAGGGGGGCAGACAACCAGTCACTATGACATACACTGAATACCAGGGGGCAGACGTTCCGACCAGTAGGTTAGCTTGCTGCTGGGGTCCAGCCAATCGGGACTGAGCAAGAAGGGCCAGACATGCCCTGGAGCCCTCCTGTGGTCCCTCCCCAGCTGGCCAACCTCCCACGTCCCTCCCCGGCCCTGATCGTGCACCAGTGCGGTCCCTCGGCCTGGCCTGTTCCCTCTTGCAATCTGGGACCCCTTGGAAGATGTTGGAGAGCCGGTTTTGGCCTGATCCTGCAGGCCAGGCCGAGGGACCCCACTGTGCACGAATTCGTGCACGGGCCTCTAGTCAATTATAGGGTGGGACCTCACTCCCAGGGTGACTTTTCCTCCCCTAGCATATAGCTGGTCATGAGGTTTGGACTCCTTGATCTTTCTTCCCTAGAGACATCTATGTTTCCATTGTGTTTTAGCTCTAGGCCCAGAAAAGCAGCAATACCAGCCAAGGCTGACCTCAGTTCCAGCAACATTGAATAATGACCCCCTGCCCTGGTGCTGGCCAATCAATCAGTGGAGACTACAACTCTGAAAGGAAACAGCTGGAAAACTGCGGAATATTCTACTGAGATCTTCCCCTGGGATCTCCCCTAAAATCTCCACCCTTAAAACCTTTAGGACGGAGGACCCTGGGAGCACGCCCAAGCCTTTTTCTCCCTTCCCCCCTTCCTACCCTCACTCCCAAGCTCCAAGGGCCCTTCCATTACCTCCATAACTTGTTTTCTAAGCCCATTTCTTCTAGGAATTACTTCTTCTACCTCTGTGATTTACCAAATAAATGTTCTCTTACAGTTTGAATCTTGACTCTGAATTCTTTCCTAGCCAGAACCCAGGTTGCTGAACTCAGGTTTGGTCTGACCCCACCGGTCAGACACCTGGTGCTGTAGGTTCCCAGGCTCTTTCTTCACTCCGTAGGTTTTAGAAAACAGACTTACCTCAGAGCAGGGGTGTTTTCACAATAAGGCCCTTGGTGTTTTCACAATAAGGGCCCACAGACAACTCAAACTAATATCTCAGCATGTTTTCCTGCCTCATAAATCTATATGCCTTAAAAAGATACTGGAGGGGGTGATATCAACATTTTAACAGAGGCCTCTACGTAGAGGACTTGTAGGTGATTTTTTCAGTTTCTTCTTTTTGTTTATATTTTATTTTTTAAATAACTTGCCAGGAACACAATGCACGTTTGTAAAGACATGGAAATAATTTTTAAAAATCAGTAATGGAAAGTTAAATTGCTCAACAGCAACAAGAAAACATTTCAAGAACTTTGCAAAGGGCGTATTTTTGTTTCTAATTTATTTAATTTAGCTTTGTTCCCTTTATATTATTTTTTTTTTGTAATGGAAGATCCCTGAGAGGCATAGCTAAATTGTGTGTGTGCTCCTAAAAACAAGACAACAGGCTCAAAATGGAGAGAGTTACACTATGACCGCAATCACCAAACCAAGACTTAATTATAGTTTTGGCTCTCCCCAAATGGAGTCTTAAACCAGTCCATTAAGAATTGTCTAAGCAGGGGCAGGTTGGGAGCTGGCGGTGGTGGTGGCGGTGGCAGTGGCAGTGGCAGTGGCGTGGTGGTTGGTGGCTGACCTATTGCACTGTTCGTTTTCGCTGGAGTGTCTAGAATAGATGTTGGTTTTGCTGCTGCTCCTGTTCCGCCTTCTGAGCCTCCCGCCTCCCCAGCCCTTAGCTCTGGACACTCCTGCCAGCGGGGTCAGTCTACCACCTTCTGTCCTTTCTGAGAAATGCCACTGATGGCTCCTTTTCTCCTGTACCTGGCACTACAATAATTATACACTTTGTGTCATTGAATCCCCCCTGCAGCTGAGACAGTAACAAAGAAGTTAAGGAACTTGCTTAAAGTCACAGTTTCAAAATGCACTAGAGTTTGAAGTTGATTGCAGGCTGCCCACTTCGCTTCTACCTTGCTCATCACCAAACTGAATGCCTCGCCAAATGCCATATGCTTTACCAAAGTTTCCACTATTTCTTAAAACCCTGGGAGGGCGGTATTATTTCTACAGCTGAGAATCCCAAGTGACTTGCACAAGAACATCAGCTCCACCTTGTCTGATGGCAAACCCTGGAAATTTACAGTATCACATGTGGCCTCTGTGTTTCTCTACACCCTCGTCCCCCCTCCCCTTTTAAACAGTTTTATTGATGTGAACCCTGAGAAGAAATATATTTGCCAAAGAGCGTGGTTAACTGGGCCCAAATTCATAACCAGTCTATGGTTATTGCTAACTGAGGCCTCTCATGTTCTCTGAATTTCGGGAAAAGTCACAAGCTGAGCTGTCAGCCTGCCACTGTGCTGTTCCACCCGACTCAACCCTTACCAGGGACTTCCTGGCTTCATCTTTCCACCAATGGACTGAGACTTGCCCTATACTATCAAAACTGGACAGGTGCACCTATATCAACCAATCAGAACTGCTCCGTAATGATCAATCAGAACGCACAATCAGGACTGTGCAGATTTGGATTCCTTATATGCATAAAAATGTATCAATTGTGGAAAAAAAATATGTGTCAAATATGTCTCCAGAAAAGGTGCCCCACCCCTTGTCTCACTGGAGCAAATTCTTTTTTTTAAAGGTTAACCTTTATTTTTATATTTTTTTGTGATTCCTCGCCCAAGGATATTTTTCCATTGATTTTTAGGGAGTGTGGAAGAGAGAGGGAAAGACAGAGAAACATCCATGTGAGAAAAACACATTGATTGGTTGCCTCCTGCAGGAGCCCCATCTGAAAAAGCCTGCAACCCAGGTATGTGCCCTTGACCAGAATTGAATCTGGGACCCTTTGGTCTGCAGGCCGAGCTCTATCCACTGAGCCAAACTGGCTAGGTCAGTGGAGCGAATTCTTGATGGATTGGCTTACGATTCCATTTGGGGAGAGCCAAAACTATAATTAAGTCTTGGTTTGGTGACAGGGGTCATAGTATAACTCTCTCCATTTTGAGCCTGAGGTCTTGTTTTTAGGAGCACACACACAATTTAGCTATGCCTCTCAAGGAGGCTGCATTTCCCGCTTTGCAAGCTGTTCACCTAAATAAAATTCTCCTTTCCACATACCTCAGATGGGAAATTTTTGTTGACACACAAAAATCTACACGAATTTAAAGTCTGTTATTTGGTTTTTATATACATAAAATCAAATATGCCCCTGAAATCAGTACAATCCAGACAGTGAACATATCCATCATCCCCCAAATTTTCCTTCTGCCCAGCTGTAAACCCTCCTCCTAGTCACAGTCTTCCATAACTACTCCTCAAATAACCATAGATCTGCTTTTGGTTGCTATCAATTAGTTTACATTTTGCATTTTAGAATTGCATATAAGTGGAATAACATAATAACATATTATGGCTTGGGGGGTAATCGGGCTTAATTATTTTGAGATTCATCCATATTGCTGAGTGTATCAGTAGTTTATTTCTTTTTATTGCTGAGTAATAACCCATTATATGGCTATCGTATAATTTATCTATTCACCCATTGCTGGACTTTTAGGTTGTTTTCAGTTTCTGGCTACTACAAACAAAGCTATCAACATTGATGTACAAGTCTTTGTGTGCACATATGCTTTTATTAGGATTAATACCCAGAAGTAAAATGGCTGCCATGTGGAAGGTGTATATTTAACTTTTTATAAAACTGCCTATTTTTCAAAGTGGTTGTTCCATTTGACATTCCCACCAGCAGTGAATGAGAGTTCTAGATTCTCCATATTGTCACCCATACTTGTTAGACAGTCTAAAAGGTGTGTAGTGGTATCTCATTGTAGGTTTAATTTGCATTTATATAATGACTAAAAATGTTAAGCATCCTTTCGTGAACTTATTTGCCATCATATATCTTTTTTAGTGAAGTGGCAATTAAAATCTTTTGTTCATTTTTTAAAAGTAGGATGCACATTCTCCCACTATTTAGTTTTGAAAGTTCTTTACATAATCTGGATATGGTGTTTTTTTGATATGTGATTTGCAAATATTTTCTTCCAGTTGGTGGCTTGTTCCTTTATTCCCTTAAAAGCATGTTTCAAAGCTGATATTTTTAACTTTGATAATGTTTAACTTATTAATTTTTATTTATAGATTGTGCATATGGTATCATATTTAACAAATCTTTGACTAACCCAAAATCCCAAAGATTTTGTTTATTTTTTCTCTACAAGTTTTATAGTATTAAATTTTAAATCTGTGACTACGATCTATACTACATTAATTTTTATATACAATGTAAGATATAAGTTGAAGTTATTTTTTTGCATATATATATCCAATTATTTCAACCATTTGTTGAAAAGATTACTTTTTTTCTGTTGAATTGCCTTAGCTACTTTGTTGAAAATCAATTGATTATATAAATGTGGGTTTATTTATAGAATCTAGTCTATTCATTGATTTATGTAGTGATCCTGACATTGATACCACATGGTCTTGATTACCATAGCTTTATAACTAAGTCTTGAAATCAGATAATTAAAATTTTCCAACTTTGTTGCTTTTTTCCCTCAAAGTTGTTATGACTATTCTACATCTTGTGCATTTTCAAATGATTTTAGAATCAGTTTGTCAGTTTCAACATCAAAAAAGCATCTGCTCTGATTTTAGTTGGGATTGCAATGAAACTAAAGATCAATTTACAACAAATTGACACCTTAAATATATTGAGTCTTCTCATCTATGAATAGGGCATATCTCCATGTACTTAGGTATTGTGTAACTTCTCTCAGAAATGTTTTTGTAGTTTTCAGTGTATAAGCCTTGCACATATTTTGTCAGATTAATTCCTAAGTATTTTGTACATGCTAGGCTATTGTAAACAGTATTATTTTAAAATTTTAATAGTTTATTGCTAATGCATAGAAATACAATTGATTTTTATATTGATCTTGTATCCTGTAAACTTGTTAAACTTATTAGTTTGAGTAGCTTTTTATACATTTTATAGTATACTAGGGGCCCAGTGCACGAATTCGTGCACCTTGAAAGGAATTATGGGCTGCAAGGCTGCTGTAGGCCATCCTCCATGCCCCCACCACAGCCCAGGTCTCTTGTCTGCCAGCAGACCTGCTCTTGCCATCGGCGCTGGCAGCAGGTGCGAGTGCTTGGCAGGACTGTGGTGCGCGGGAGCAAAGAATTTTCAATAACCACCAGAGGCTTGCCCTGATGACAGCGACCAGCGCCCCACCTTGGTCTGGCACCCCCGCTCACCTGCTCCACCATCCTGCCATGGCCGAAGCCCACCATGTTCCATGCTCTGCCGCCTGCTGCCAATACCCACCATGTTTTGCGCGTGCTGCTTGGTGGTCAGCACACATCATAGTGACTGGTTGTTCGGTTGTTTGGTTGTTCTGCTGTTCAGTCTATTTGCATATTAGGGTTTAACATATATAGATAGACAATAATGTTATCAGTGAATAAAGACCATTTTCCTCTTCCTTTCCAATAAAAAATAGAGAATTGCTTAGTTAATCTGCCTGACAGACCCTGCCATCCCCTAAAGCAGAGGTTCTCAACCTGTGGGTCGTGACCCCTTTGATGGTTGAACGACCCTTTCACAGGGGTCGCCTAAGACCATCCTGCATATCAAATATTTACATTACGATTCATAACAGTAGCAACATTACAGTTATGAAGTAGCAACGAAAATAATTTTATGGTTGGGTCACAACATGAGGAACTGTATTTAAAGGGCCAGAAGATTGAGAACCACTGCCCTAAAGGAAAGTGACTTTTCTATAACCAATTTGCTTTTTCATCTAGTATAACTTCTTTGTTCCTGTTCCCTCCTGCCTATGAAGATCTTTAGTTTCTTACAGCTCCTTGGAGCCCCTTTCTATTTGCTAAATTAGATACTTCCAGATTCATGAATAATTGAATAAATCCAATAAGATTTCTAAAATTTATTCAGTTGAATTTTTGTTTTATTTTTTCAGAACTTATTTAAAATTCATTTTCAAAAATGCTATTGTCCTTATAAATGGTCTATCTCCAAAATGAGATCTGTATTAAGTTTTTTCAACAGAAATTCAGGTTTGGGATAGGATCATCATAGATATAAATTTTGTTTTTAACAGTGTGTTGGATGATACTCGGTCATGGAAAATTGGAATTTAGGTCATAGATATTGCATTGTAATAAGCATAATAATGATCTCACCAGTGTAAACAACCAGTCTGCAAGGCCCCTTCCACTTTATAGAAAGAAAAGTCAAGGTGAAGAGAGGTTATGCAGCTTAACCAGGATCACCTTGTGAAGACAAGGCAGAGCTTCTCAGAATATTTTCCTCCAAATGCAGTGCAATACAATGCAATGTGTGTAATGCAATGCAATGCGATGTGATGTAAATGTTTATATGAAACACTTAGAACAGCACCTGCCACATAATAGGTACTAAATCAGTGTTAACTATTTCAGGTCCAAAAAATAAGTCCACTTTCTTCACTCTATTAGGCCTTAGGGAAGCGGGGGTGGAGGGGGAAAAGAACAAAGCCAAAGAGTGAAACGAAATGCACACAGGGTTCTGAAACATGGGCAAGAAGGCAGAGCTCAGGAAGGGGTGAGAACTACAAGGAGCCAGCAGCTTATCTAGAACCAGGCTTAGCAACCTTCTCTAAGTCAGGGACTAAGGTTGTGATAGGAGTTTATCTGGAATGTGATGGAAGGGAATGATGGCAGGCCCCTCTCTTGAAATGGGGATAGGAGATTCAGAGGTGGGAGAAAGTCACAGGCAGCCAGAGGGAAGAGGGCAGAGAGGAGTCCACATGGGGGCCACCCTGAAAATTGGTCTTCCTTGACTCACGGTCAGCCCAGGGAATAGAGTTCAGTCACTTATCACACCAAAAGTCAAACGCTTGGCTTGGAATCCCACCTGACCTTTGTCTGTAAGGAAGGCCTGGCCTCACAGTGAGGGAAGGAAGGTGTGGGTAGATATTCTGACCAGAGCAACTGAGATGGTTGCTTGTTTTTATAAGAAAAAAGGCTTAGGTTTGGCTCATTTCCTGAAAGGAATTCAGATAAAAGGGGGGCTTACTATCAGTTTAATGGGTTGATATAAGTTACTGATTAGGTATTTTTCCTGCTCCAGCATTTCCTGAACAGGAAAAAATAACTGCACAGATAGCTCTGTGTTGAGAAAAAGGTTACTGAAGTCACAAATTTCAGTAAGGCCTAATTCCTCAGATGAGTCTCCCAGGTATAGGATTGGGTCAGGAAATGAGAGTAGAGAAGAGGTGGGGATTGGAGAGGTTGAACTGGTTCACTGGCCTTTAACAATGAAAAATAAAAGGGAGGGACTAGCGACGAGGAGGAGGTTCTGGGGCCTAGAGGGAAGGTATCCTGTCCTCTTCCCCTCTCATTCTTAGGGAGAAGAGGATGCTGGACACACATCCTTGAAGTTGTAGGGTGTTCCTACATAGAGATCAACATCTGCTTCTTGCCTGAAGTTTCTGAAGGGGGAGGTTCACTGGAGTACCCCATACCTGGGGGGCAGGAAGAGCTGTAGGGCTGTTTTCAAAGATGAAGAAAATGGGGGCAGTCTTCATCCCAGGTCGCTGAGCTCTCAGTGACCACTGAAGACCCCAACAGTTTCTGTGACTTGAGACGAAGCAGAAGGAAGTGAAATCAGAGGCACAGTCCTGGGCCCTTAACAAGCCACCAACTTCAGACTGAACCAGACGGAGCTTGGGGACATGTCCCTCCCCACTCGAGGGCAGAGCCAGAAGGTCAGCCTGTTCTGGGAAGAGAGCAGGGGATCTGAAAAGGATACATGATTGGAATTTCAAGTGGGATGGAACTCTGGCAATTCTCCAAAATGACAAACATAAAGTCACTGTATGACTCAGCATTCTACTCTGAGGTATAGATCCAGGAGAAATAGAAATATCTGTGCACACAAAAACCTGTACATGAATTGTTACAGCAGCATTATTCACAATAGCCAAAAAGCAGAGTTCAACTGTCCAGCAAGTGATGAATGGACCAATAAATTTGGGTACATCCATAGAGTGGAATATAATTCAGCCTTAAAAAGGAATGACCTACTAATACATGCTACAATGCGGGTGAACCTTGAAAACATCATGTTCAGTGAAAGAAGCCAGTCAAAAAGACCACATATTATATAATTCCATTTATATGACATGTCCATAACAGACAAATCCATAGAGACAGAAAATAATTAGTGGTTGCCTGGGAGTGGAGGAATGGGGGAGGTACAGAAGTGACTGACAAAGTGAATGGGGTTTCATTTCGGTATGATGAAAATGTTTTTAATGTGATTGTTGTGATTGTTGCACAATTCTGTGCATATACTAAAAACCACTGAAGGGTACACTTTAAATGGGTGGACTGTATGGTATGTGAAGTATGTCTCAAAAAGCTATTAGGAAACATGGGACTGGACTGCCATAACATGTGACCTGCACATTATGAAACTGAACAGAGATAATGATGAAGGTCATTCTCTACCTGGCAGGCTGGGAGGGTTAACAGAATATTCTTCACAACAGTTATTGGAAAAGTAAAACATTTTAATAGACTCAGTTTGCTCAATCAAATTTGTGACATAAGGATGGGTGGGGCCCCCGTCAGTCAGAAGCAAGACCACACCAGCACCAGCTCATGGCGTTGTCTCTCCCCCCGTTTTTCTCTACTTCTCTCTGCACATCTCATCTGTCCTCCTTGCACTGCTGACTTCCTCATTCTTTCCCTCTAGTCAGAACCTCTTTTCTCTTCCTTGTCATTTTGCTTTCTCAGAGTTTCTGCTGCCTCAACACCACATTTCCTATCACGAGTCTAGGAACTTCATAACCCTTCAGCGCAGGCCTAACTGCTTCTGTTGTGAGCATCTGATTGGCTGACAGCCTCCCGAAGCCCATATCTAAATTCACCGTTCTTTGGCCCACTGAGCAGTTGTGGGAGGTGAGTCACACAGAACAAAAAAAATCTGGCTCCCCTGGGTGCCCTTTTGGACAAAGGGAGAAGGTGGGGAAACTTCACTCAGAAAGGGGACGGGTGCTCTGACTAAAAGAGGTCATCAGGTGCATCTGATGGGGCTGAGGCCTGCTAACAGCCCGGGGCTGGAATTATAGTTCAGATTCTCAGACGGGTTTCTGCCATTGCAGCACCTCTTCTGGTTTAGAGCAGAAGATCAGGCACCTGTCCCTGCATCCCAGCCAAGGTAACCAATACCTTTGTGTCTTGTTAGGGCACAGGGACCCACCTCTTCTCTAGAAACTTATCCAGATCATAAAATTGGTGTCTAGTGGCCATATCTGTGCTATATCACTTTACTTCCTACGCCCATGCTTATCAGATTCTTTTCCCTGGGCATTTGAAGTGGGCCTAAGAGATAGTGAGTCAGTTACCTCACGTGGAAGAAAGTGCAGAATGTAACTGTGGGAGCTGATGTGCATGTGGGAAGGCGGAGCGTATGTTTAGCCATGTAGCCGAGAAGTTCTTAAGAGAGTAACTGGAGACAGAAGCAGACAAGAAAGAGAGGCAGCTCTGACTACCATCCTGCTCTTTGTTCCAGTCCCTTCTGCAGTCTGGGTTGTGGTCTTAGCCTTGGATTTGGCTAGATACCTATGTGCAATTATGCTTTTTACTCAAGTGGGTCTCTGTTCCTTCAGACAATTCTGAAACACACAAAAGCTTAAATGCCCGAGAATCACCAACTGCTGCATGCCGAGCCAGGCCTGACCTCATTTTGCAGGTAGTTGAGGGGAGAATAACAAGGCAGACCTAAGGAACTAAATAATCTACATGCTTCCCAAAGTCTCTTCTTTTCCTGATCTTGGCTCATCTCTGCTGGACCCAGAGGTCTGGGCTGGCCATAAGATGAACCTGGTGTGGTCCCAGCAACCACATAAAGGATCCCCATAACCTGTCTAAAATTCTGAACCCAGTTCCAGTGTCTGTGTGTAGTGTGGGTTTTTCCCATACCACCGATGAAGCAATTTTTGAACACCAACTGTGTGTCTCACAATTCAACTCAATTCTGACACTATCTTTCTGGAAATAGATCAGATTCCATAAGATGCCCTCCACTTCAGATGCCAATCAGAAGTTCAGATATGATCTGTGCTTCTGGCTGATCAGCTATAGACTGAAGGTTCCCACGACCCCGACCTTGGGTTTGATTAACTTGCTAGAGGAGCTCACAGAACTAAAACAAAAACAAAAACAAAAACATTTACTCACTAGATTACTGACTTATTGCCAAGGATAATAAAGGATATGAATCACCAGCCAGATGAAAAGATACATGGGGTGATATTAATATCCCAAACAAAGGCACTTCCCAAACAACAGAGTTTAGACCAGCCATGGGCAAACTACGGCCCGCGGGCCGGATCCGGCCCATTTGAAATGAATAAAACTAAAAAAAAAAAGACCGTACCCTTTTATGTAATGATGTTTACTTTGAATTTATATTAGTTCACACAAACACTCCATCCATGCTTTTGTTCCAGCCCTCCGGTCCAGTTTAAGAACCCATTGTGCCCTCGAGTCAAAAAGTTTGCCCACCCCTGGTTTAGGCCCAACACAGTGGCACATGGAAGTGCACTGTTCCCCAAACCTGGAAGTTCTCTGAACCCTTTCCTTTTACATTTTTTATGGAGGCTTCATTCACAGCTGTAATTGATTAAATCATTGGCAATTGGTGATTGGTTCAACCTCCAGTCCCTATCCCCTGCCAGGCAGTCAGGGGGTGGGACTGAAAGTTCCAGCCCTCTAACCTCATGGTTGGATCTCCTGGCAAGCAGCCCCTAACCTGGGGTGTGTCCCATTGTTACCTCATTCAAATAACAAAAGACACCTTTGTAGCTCTCAACACTTAGGAAATTCCAAGGGTTTTAAGAGCTCTGAGACAGAAATGGACAAAAGAGCAAACATATACTGCTATTTCTTCTTTTTTAAAATACATTTTTATTGATCTCAGAGAAGGAAGAGACAGGGAAAGAGAAACATCCTATATAATAAAAGCCTAATAGGCAAATTGTTCGACTGGGAG